GACAAGCCCGCGCTCCACGCTGCCCCCGGCTCACGTGGCCCAGTGGGGCTGCCCGGAAGCGCCCCCGCTCCCCTCTGGGCCAGAGGGAGCACAGCCACTGGTTCAGCCCCCGCCGTGGGCGCCAGGCCGTGACAACGCAGCTCAGGTGCTCAAAGCTCAGGCACCGCTCTCCACTACCTTGGGGACCCACCATTGCCATGACTCTGCTGGACGATGAGACGAACCTTCTGTTTCAAATATCAGAAGAGCGCACACAGGAGGCTGAGCAGCATGGGCGGTGGGGCACAGAGCGGCCCAGAGAAGAGAGAGAGAAACCAGTGAAGGCCAAGGGGAGGGCAGGATGGGGGCGCACCCATCCTCCACAAAGAGCCAGCAGGTGAGACCCAGTGATTCTGTGCCAAACCCCAGGGGCCGTTTTAGTGTGTTTTGTCCGGATCAGCTCTCATGGTCCCCGGCACATCTCTGCTCCAAGACTTCTCGGTCTGTCTGCTGTGCCAGGAATGTGGAGTGGCCCCGTCCCAGGGAGCCCTGGTGTGACCTCATGGGGATTCGGGGGCCGGAGGGGGGCCTCTCGGCACAGCCAACTACACCTCCAAGCAGGACCCCCACAGTCCAGGCTGAGAGCTGGAAGACTGTCCCCAGGCCCCCAGGTCAACTTTTACATCGAGAGACACTTGGTTCAACATCCGACCCTGTCTGCAGGCCTGGCTGTGCGTGCAGCCATCACGGGACACCCCCTGACCCCGGACAAGCCCAGGCTCTCACCCCCAGGTCCCTACAGCAAGACCCACGCCCCACGCGTCACTCCACAGCCCAGCCCATGACACAGCCTGTGGGGTGAGCCCCATGGGAACCGGGCAGGGGGATTCAGCCCAGGGCTTAGATCAACACAACCAACTGCTCCTCGCCAGCATCGGGGGGAGGATGAAGGCGTGGGCACTGCATGCAGGCTGCGGGGCGGGGGTGCTGGGGGCCAGCACTGGGGCCCAAGTGAGGGACTGGAACCAGCCCCCGCTCTGCACGGGGCACAGTGCCCGCCCAGCACCCGCCCAGGTCCGGGCACCAAAGGAGACTCTAGCAAAGGGCTTTGCACACTAGGAGCCCTTGCGTTGGTGCTGATGCGTGTAACTCCCACCGGACACGCAGTCTCATCTCCACGTCGGACCTCGCGCAGGACCCTCTACAGTTAGTCACCAGACCTACAGGAGCGTCGTGGTGCCACCAGCAGCAGCAGGACGGAGCGTTCACCACGTGGGCACGCACAAGTGCACCCCCCACCACCAGCCTGAGTCCAGAGGGCACCCCGTTCTGTGGCTCTCTCCTGGGCAACCAGCCGCATAGTGGTCTCTGATGGGAGGGCTCCCCCGGGCACAGCCCTGGAACACCGCCCCCCAGGAGCAAAGGCCTCGAGGGGTCGGGCCTGGTACGAGGTGTAATCCTGAAGCCTCAGGAGCAAGTGGGCATCCACGGGCCCTCCCACCCTAGGAGCCATCGGCACCCAGAGAACACGCACCTCCAGAGGCCACCCCCCCTCCTCTCTCTGATGGTCCCATCAAAGGATTCCCTGTGAAGGGGAGGAGCCAGCCTGCCCGCCCCCACCGCCCCCGCTGCCCCCTGGCCGTGACTCAGGCAGCTGATCACATCCTGCCTCAGTTTCCCGATCTACTGAAAGAAGGCCCATGGGCATAATCAGTGCCTGTTTCCCTGGTCACTGTGGAAACTGAAGGAGCACACTGGACATGGAGGGGGCCCACTGCCTGCAGGAGGAAGTATGTTTAAGGGTCCGCCCCGTCAGCAGGGAGCTGTCGTGAATTCCCAGTCCCCCCCAGGTGAAGCTAAGAGGCCCTTATGAATGATGCAGCGAAAACCCCAACCAAAGGCAGGACCTGGCAGAACCCGCGACTGCTTGGGGGGGCGCGGCATTTGGCACCCAGCACCCACCTGCCTGCGGGCCTCCACATACCAGGCTGGGCCTCGCACACTGTAGAGGACTCCTTGAGCCTCTGAGCCACCGAGCCACCCACCCCCTCAGGAGGCATGGCGATGACCCCCCCACAAGACAGACAGCAAACTAAGCCAGAGAAGGCCCGGCCACAGCCCCAGGTCGCTGTGTAGCAAGGCCGAGGGGCCTGAGACTCTGGCCTGCAGAGGCCGCACCTGCGATCTGCACCCTACTCTCCCGCTGCTCCGTGCAGAGGGCTCCCCTTCCCAAGCCAGGCCCTTGGACCCCGAGGGAGGCATGGCCCAGAGGGCAGGACTTTCCTCCCAGATCACAGACAGGACCGCTCTTGGCAGGACAAAGGCAGGACTGAGGCCTCAAGAGACCGGTCTGCCCCCTCTGCAGCAGTAGGGTGCTTCCTGGTGGGGGTAGTAGCCCCGGGTGGGGCCCAGAGAGCCAGCGGGCAGCAGCCTGGCACGGCCCAGGACAGCAGTGCACTGTCACAAGCCATGCCCTCCTTCGTGGTGGGGCAGGGCGGGTGGGGGGCCATCTGCTGGGCCCGCTCAGTGGGAAGTGACCTCTCCACCCTGATGGAGTCCTCAGAGATTCCCTGCAAAAACTAATTGCCTGGAAGCATAAATAACACGGCCCAGGGATGGGGTGGGGGTGGGGCCACCGAGGCCACACAGGCCCCCGAATGGGGAACAAAGCAGACCTCAGCTGCTCCGAGCCACCCACCCGCTGCTCCCAGGGAGGGGGTGCCCAAGAGGAAGCCAGGCTTTCAGAGATGTGGACAGCTGGGCCCAGGGAACTCTCTGGGTCCTATGAACCCACCTCTCTGGAAAAAGTAATTACCGGCCAGCAGCCCCCTGCCCCAGCAGACCCCCTACCAGCCTCAGGACACACACGGGCCCCACGCTCATCCCAGGAGGTGCTGCGAGGACTCCGGCACCCTCCTGGATGCCCCGGCACCCACGGACAGCAGGAAGGAGTGTGGGGCTCGGGGGAGCCAGCCACAGCCACAGGGACGACAGTGCTCATCACAGCCGGCCGCCAGCCCGTCTCAGTTTCTCGCAGTGTCCCCATAACCCCTGGGTGAGCCCCCATCCTGTTGAAAGATGAGGGACGGAGGCCCGGAGGGGAGGTGACTGCCAGAGGTCCTGCTGGCTGTGGAGGCGACAGAGCATCCCAGCCACGCGGGGACGCCCGGCTCCCTGCCCAGCACGGCCCCGGACGCAGGTGGGAGGGGAAGGCAAGTGCTGGATGAGCCACCTGCCCCCGATGGAGAGAGAGAGAGTCCCTCTGAAGCAGAACAATGAACAACACACTTGGAGCGAAAGCAGCCTTTTCCAGGGGCCCCACTCAGGTGAGCTGCAGGGAAAACCCAGCCGCGGTGGGCACACCCCACACCCGCCACGCCCGGCTCCAACGAGGAAGGTGCGGGGTGAGGGGGGCAGGTCGGACCTGGGCTCGGGCCCCGGCTGCTCAGCCCTCCGTGAATCAGGGTCCCACTCGTGAAGGGATGAACCCGCCAGGGAGACACCCTGAGGTCTGATCCGGCTCCCCATTCCCACGCCCGCCCAGGGGATGTCTGTCTGGGTGCCCCGGACAGTCCTGGGCAAGGGCCCTCGGTCAGCCTGGCCAGAACCCCTGCCCCCTGCCTCCTCATAGCAGCTTGCCTGCTCGCCCGGCTCACGGCCCTCCCTCACGCCCAAGCCGCGTCCAGCGTCGAGCCCAGCGCGACACCAGCGTCACTGTCCCCCACTGCAGCAGCCCCGACCACAGTCTGCTTTCAGCTCCATACGACCGCCCAGGTCTGGTTTTCCTGCACACGCCAGTGCCACGGAACTTACACCTCAAAACGGCTGGAAGGCAAATTCTGTGTGGATCTCACCACAAGTAAAACAAAACAAAACAAAACAGCCGCTGGGAGCGAGGACGCAGCGGCAGCACCTTCTGGACGTCGTCGGCTCTTTAGCGCCAGCCCCCCCACCCGGGCCGGGCGGTCCCCCCAGGCAC